CCACTGTGGCCCAAATTCTCTGTTCCTAGAATCTAAAGTGGCAGCATTTGAAGGTGCCTCCATGATTTTGTTGAATGCTGCATCTTGGTTCTGAGCCTTACAGTCATGGAGCAACGAGAGTGGTCCCTGATGTGTCCCAGGAGGCCAGTGAGGTCATCCATCTATGCCAGGCCTAGGAAAGATGCAGTACACTGTAGCCTGGCAGGGGACTCTAAAGATTATTGACCTTTCCTCTATTCACTTAAAAAAGATGTTACCTTCGCTAAAAATCTCATAGAAGCCCTACTCCCCATCAGACTTGAAAGGCATACCAGTTTCCCAAAAACTTTCCTTTATTGTTCTTTATAGCTGCACAGAAAACCATCCGAGATGAGAAGCTGACTCTGGGTCACATGGTAACAGGCAGCAAATTATAAAACTAAGGAACACCCCAAGTAGCCCATCTCTTGAAAGCCTGATAGGCCTTGCTCTTATTCTTGCCTTCTCAACATATCCACATGTACATGGATAAGCCAAATGAATCATTCCCCATACCCCTTTCTTCAAAATGCCCTTCTTTGTCAATTTTGTCATCCTAACTTCTTCCCAATTTATGGTGCCCATCAGAATTACATCTTCATAAAATCTCACCATTTCTCCAATACACCCTAGTATGCCTTTCTTTCTCTTAACTCCTTGTATCTTCTCTCAGAGTTTGTCTTTGTTTTTCTGTATAATTAGGCAAAATTCTCAGAGGCCAGAAAATATCTCATATGCATCTCTAGTTCAAAGCTGGATGCACTGGAAGTGTTCTACCTGCTGTCTGGGGCCATTTACTCAACTCATGCTAGACATTTGATGGTTCATTGATTTCTCTGTCCCCAAGATCAGCCCCCTATGTTGAGTTTTCTGGTTATATCCCCTGAGTGTCCCTTTCTTTGGCAAGAGGCCCCAGCTGTTCAACAGTAGAAGTCTCAGAAGTGGGAATGATATCTTTGAGGAAGTTTTCATAGACTGAGGTTCCCACAGTAGATGGAAAGGTAACAACAGGAAGTCATAATTGAAAAATCTGAAGAATTAAAGAAGGGGCAGGATTAGAAAAAATCAAAAAGCAAAACAAAATCCAAGTAGATAACATTTTGGGATAGGGGAGAGGCAGAGTAGCCAGACCCAGTGACTCATGCCTGCAATCCCAACTAGTTAGGAGGCAGAGATCAGGAGAAACGAGGTTTAAGGCCAGCCCAGGCAAAAAACTAGAAACAGAACAGAACAGGCTGGGCATGGTAGCATACACCTGTCATCTCAGTTACATAGGAGGCCATAGGTAGGAGGATCAAGGTCTGAGGCCAACCTTAGACAAAAAGTGAGACCTTATCTGAAAAATAACCTAAAGCAAAAAAGGCTGGAAGTGTGGCTCAAGTGGCCAAACCCCAGTACCACTAAAAAGAAAAGAAAAAGAGGAAACTGTAAAATACTGGAAGAAAATACAAGAAATTAAAAAATACACATGTATGAAATCTTAGAGAAGAGTTGGACTTTGTAAGCTAACATAAAATCCAGGAGATATAAAAATATTAATGATTTGCATAAAAGTAGACATCTGAATTATAAAAAAATTATAAAGTTAAGGAAAAATAACAAATTGTAAAAAGTATTTGCAACATACGGCACAAAGGGCAGATTTTATTCATATACAGAAAACTACAAATCATTACAGCAAAGAGCAAACCACAGAGGATTTGAACATAGGTCACAGAAAAGGATATTGGTATATCTTTTTTTAAAAAGCATATAAAGGAACAGCCAACGCCACTCTTAATGTAATTGTAATTTAAAGCAGTGAGATACTATTTTTTACTTGTCATCTTGGCAGAGGCCAGTAGATTTAATAGTGGACTTTGGTGGCCAGGTTGTGGGAAAAGTGGAATTCTTAGACACAGTTGGTGACCATGTAAATTGGTACAGCTTCTTTGGAGAGCATCTTGTCAAAATCACTGAAAACTCTAAATGTGCAAGTACCTTCATCCAGCAATTCAGCTTCTGGGAATTCTGTCTCTGGATAAACATCCATATGCACAAAACTGTTATAAAAATACTTATTACAGCATTATTTGATTTGTCTTATTGAGCAAGGCAGGCCTCAAACTCTATTTCCTCCTGCCTCAGCTTCCTGAGTGCTGGGATTACAAGTGTGCACCACCATGCCTGGCCAGCATCGTTTTTAGTAGGAAGTTAGTTATCTTAATCTCAATTCTGTCAAAAGGGAACAGACAGATCCATGGAATGGAGCAGTTTACTGCCATTAAGAAAATGAGGCAAGCCAGATTGCTGGTGGCTCATGCCTGTAATCTTAGCTACTCAGGAGGCAGAGATCAGAAGGATCATGGTTCAGAGCCAGCTTGGGGAAGTAGGTTCGGAGACCCTATCTCAAAAAAACCCATCACAGAAAAGGGCTGGTGGAGTAGCTCAAGGTGTAGGCCCTAAGTTCATACCCTAGTACCGGAAAAAAAAAAAAAAAAAAAGATGCAAGTCTCCATGTACCTAATAGAATGGTATCTAAAACATATTAATGGGACATTATTCACAAGAGCCAAACTATGGAAACAGCCCAGATGCCCTACAACTAATGAATGGATTAAGAAAATGTGGTATATATGGTAGAATATTATTTGACCATAAAGAAGAATGAAACTTTGTAAACGGATGGAACTAGATCATATGTTAAGTTTTGTTTGCCAGGTTCAGAAAGACAAAGGTTGCATATTTTCTCTTATATGTGGAAGATAGATACAAATAAAAAGCATTGTCATATATACGTACAACATATATATGTGTATACACACACATATATAACATGTTTCAAAAAGTGGGGTGGTTAGAAGAGACTAAGGGAGGAGAAAAAGAAGGAAAAAAAATAGAGTGAATAATATTGAAATACATCATATTTGTGTAGGAAAAAGATAAAACACAGTGAAAACTGTTGAACAATATGGGATGCGGGAAAATGGTAAGGAAGAGTAATAGAGGGGGCTAAACTGGTTGAAGTGCAATTTATTTACAGGTAAAATGCCAAGACAAAGCCCCACTGAACAGTGAGCAGACACTTAAACAATGAAGGACAGGAGTGTAAAACAAGTCACATTAAGGAAAGGGCACTAGCAGGAGGAGGAGGGGGAATGAAGAGGGTAAGGGGGATGAAACGTGGAAACCTGTCAAAGCCATTTTAAGAAGGGGAGTGGGGGAAGAGGAGAATAATGGAGGGGATGAACCAAACTGGGTACAACATATGTATATATGGAAATACCATAACAAAACCCCCTGTATAACTATCACATACTAATAAAAATGTTTTAAAAAATAAAACATGTTAATGGAAAACAGTAAAGTTCAGAATTTCATGTATAGCAGACCACCACTTATGTGAAGATAAACAGATGGGTTATAAATGAATAGAAGGATATGCCTCTAAGTAGTAATAGTGGTTTCCTCAGGGAGCAGACTGAGCAGATGTTGGGGTCATGGAAAAGGGACTTCATTTTCACTGAAAGCCCTATTGTACTGCTTGAATTGTTTTTATACCATGCACATGTGTTACCTATTGTTTAAAACTAAGTTTTTAAAAATAGCTCAGCATAGGTATGAAATTAGGCCAGACCTGTGGAATTATATAAACTAATGGTTTTGGTAGGTAGACATCAGAGAGCAGTCAATCAGTAAGAGAAGCCAGGTGGTGGGGCTGAGGTGGGGCAGGTCAAAAAACAAAGAGACCATGATACAAAACAGTTTTGTTTCAAATCAAAGGTATCTGATACGTGGTTGAGTTTTTTTGTTTTTATTTTTTGAGACAGGGTCTTCCTATGTAGCTAAGGCCTCAAACTGGTGATCCTTCTCCCTCAGATTCCTGAGAGCTGGGATTACTGTCATGTGCTACCATCTATGCCCAGTGATGGTATGCTTGCAGTGTTAGAGTATATGCTAGCTTCAGGATGTGGGAAGTTCAGGATTAGAGGAATGGTTAAGCTGTTAATGAACAGGAAATGAGAGAGTCAGGTTTAGGAAATGTACCAGCCAGAACAATGGTACCAGTTTTAGTGCCATCCCTAATGCTAATCTTATGTGGGAAGTGGAGAAGGGAAGAGATAAGTCCTCCTGGAGCCTCTGCCCAAGCCAGGCCCAAAGGTGGGCCTTTCTAGTTCAGTGTACCACCTGATCATGGTGACACGGGTATGTCATTCCCATGGTATAGGGCAGGAGTCTGGTCAGGTTAAAGAGATACTAAGCAAAGCCAGGACTTAGACACAGTTGTGTCTTACTGATCACACCATTCGTGCCATATCATTAGCACACCAAAGAGAGTCTGGTCCCATCTGTGGTCAGTGTGAAACTAGACTCAGAGCCAGGGCCCTTCAAGCACTGTTCTCGAATGAAAGTCCTGTTCTTCCTTTTGTTTGTAAACCTCCAAATCCAAGTCACTTACTGTTTCTACCATGTGGTTCAAAAAGTAAAGCCACTTATTGAAAGGAGAAATTCCATTCATTAAAAAAATAGTATATCAGCTCCATTGTTTGTTAATCTTGCATGTTTATTGTTCAGTTGGCTATTTGGAATCTATAGATACGTTTTTCATATGTGAGTGCAATTCTCTTTCTTCAAAGTGTTAGATCTTTGTCATGACCAGTAATTTTTTCCCAAAGCTTCTCTCCCCTTAAGAGAATAACAGATATGTACCTCATTTTCACATAACTAGGATAGGATCTCAGGTTTTGCTTGCTTCAATTTATTTTATTTGGAGCCAGAGCATAGAGTTTTATCTGGTGAAACCCCAGTCTCCACCATAAGCTCTTGGACTTATTTTCTCACTTGAGTTACTTTCCAGATATGGTTGTGCATCTTTTTTCTAGCATTTGCCTTAATTGCCCAAGCCTTGTGACTTGCCTAGTAGAACACACCCATTTTCTCCTTCTTGTATCCTGGACCTGAGGGAGAGAAAATAATTTATTTTCTGTTCTTTACCTTTCTAGGCAAAATCCATGTTTGGTGACCAGAGCTGTATATATGGATATTCTCTTCCTTTTGACTTACTGCCTTGAAAAACCCACAAAGGGCAACCAGCCAGGTATGCTTCCTAGCTGTAACCTACTTTGGAATGGCTGCAAGTCTTTGAAATATAAATGAGTTTTTGAGCAGCTCTACATACCAACCACTACTGTGAGCTAACCACACATCAGAATTCAGCAGTGTCTGTTGCTTCCTCCTAGAAACTTCTCAAGGAAACTTGTGCTTGTTTGCTTGGAAGTTTGCCTTTAAATACTTTCTATTTGGTCATTCAGAGAGGAGTGTGAACTCTACTCAGACACTCTTTTGTGTTTTGGAGATCTTGCCTTTTTTCTCTCTCTTTTTTTCTTTTTGTTGTTGTTGAAAGCTCATCATTTTCAAGAACTGACTGTTTGCTCTGTTCCATCTTGTGGAGATACCTGAGCATGCTGGCTCATTTGGTGCTGGAACACAGGGACATTTGAGCCCCTGTTCTCCAATCCACCCCTATGAAAGCACATGTAGGAGTTGCTTCCTTGGGTTCTGACTTCATACATGTGTCTAGGTCATGTATGTTTCTGGGTATGTGCCCCAGGTCCACATAAAATTGTTCTGTTTTAATCTTGATTCACAAGTTTGTTACTGTTTTGTTTTTGTTTTTTTAAGGGAGAAGGACAACCCAAATAAAATTTTATTGATGTGTTTATGTAGCAGGCCATGGGAAGTGCTGTACATGAGTTCCAGGCCACAGATTAAAACTGATTTTCATCAACACAAACTGGAATGCAGGGTAATGAGCCTGCAACTGGTTAAAATCAGTGTCTTCTAATTGATTAGGCCCATCTAAAGGAAGCTATGATTACAAAGTCAGATTCTGAGTACAAGCAGGCAAGGCTTTTTCCTTGGTTACATTTAGTCTGCCAGTGATTTGTTGTCTTAAGTAAATATGTTCAGGCTGTCAAAGTCCAGCTATTTCCATATGGAACCATGTTCTCAAATTCAAATCAATTTAAAATGCTTTGCAGGGGGGTGGGGGTTGGGTGTGTGAAGCCACCCCCCCAATTGATGTGTATTAGCCTACAAAGCCCCCATGGTCATGCATAGGTAATCAGAATGCAGTAGACTTTTCTCTGCTCCACATCCCTACATAGGGGCAGCTATTGTATCCATTCAGTAGTACAGGACCACATCATTTTATAACTATAAAGTTCCAGTGTGTGCCTCTTGCCCAGCATCATTATGAATAGCTCCCCCATTTTATTCTTGAGACTGTCTAGGTTTATATAAATTGCCCTAGCTACAAGGGACCTTAGTATTGCATCCATATTTTAACTGGAGCCTGGAGGCTATAAAAAGGATTATAAATCTGATGTTACCAAATAAGTTGTTTTAGATTTCCACCATCTCTGTATATCAGTTCCAAATTCCATATACTTATCTGCTTATGGATCTTTAAGGGCTTGCTTACAAATCCGTTCACTGGAATCCTGACAAGAGTTGTGTGGTTAACTGTAGTCATTAGTTTATTGGAATTGTGTTTTTCTTGACTCAGTATCATTATTCCTGGTCTTGACGTGTTAACCCTTGAGTGTTATACAATACCTTACTGATGAGCTAAAACTCCATGAAGATGACCTCAGCTCTTTTGAATCATTCTTTCCTCCAAACTCTTAACATTGTTTAGTTTATACCTCAACTCAGTGTGATTGTGTAAAGCTGTCATTTGTTAGAATGCTGTAGTATTTCACTTTGCATGCGTGTACTACTCCTCTTCACATATTTACTTTGCAGAGTAAGATGTGAGAGGAATACTAGGTATTGTTCCACACTGCCCAATAAGGTGGGTACTAGCCGCGTGGAGTACTTGAGAGATGAATGATCCAAATTGAGATGTTCTACAATTTTAACTGTGTCTTTTATTTTTTATTTACAATATGACTTAGAATAGAAAATATAAGAAAATAGCACTATCATTGAAATACATAAACTTAACTGTCAAATGGAGAGATGTAAAAAATCATTAATGACGTCACAGAAACCAAAATGGTACATTAAAGTAACATTATTCATAAGGA